GCATTATGGAAATGGAGCATGCGCGCGATGATCTGATGTTCGAGGTGCATAAATTGCAGCAGGGCAGTGTGGACTACGAAAAGAGTGTAGGCATTTTTTTTTGCCAAAAATTGGCATTCCGTCATGCCACAGCAAAATTTAACATCTAAGAAAGCTAAGTTGATCGTCGATCATTGCTGCTTTTTATATTTATTGCTAACAACAAGAACCGTTTGTTTTTGTGATTGTTCAGTAACTCGGCAGTAATTCAGAGCAGTTATGTTTGATCATTATTTCAGTCACAGTTAATTAAAAATGGTCCTTATTTTTATAATTCTTATAAATTATTATTCACATTGAGCCACGGAATTTCTGATTTGGATGTGCCCGAAAACTGGGATTGGTATGAAGATTTATTGGGTCGAAATACATCCAGTGTTCCTCTTCCAAAATTTATTTGAATATGCGCATCTGGCAAGCGAACAAGTCGAAGAGACTGTAGGTATTAACTAGAGATATACAGTCCTAGAATGGAAGAGCCTGGCCTGATTTCGGGGACGTCCTTAATGCGTTCTCCACATCGATTGTTTTATATTTTATTTTTTTTTTTATATTATTCTGAAAGCACTTATTGTATTTCTTATTTCGGTAATCGTCCTGCATTATAATCTGATTTGGCCACAGATTATTCTTCTATTATTGTTTAATTTCATTGTAAAATATCGGGTGGAAACAGTCTTGATTATCGCCTAGAACTGGAAAAAGTTTCACTTACAACAGTAATTAATCTCTTCCCAAATCACTGCTGTAGCATTGCTTTTATCGTCAAAAACCGCACAAGAAGCATTTGGCGAGCAAAAATAATTAAAGTAATAAATTTTAGCTGCTAAAGACCTATTTCTCGGATTTGGACAAAGTAATCCAGGAATTGGCAAAGCAGCTGTGGTACATTTGTTCTCGCTGTTTGGAAGCGGTTCGTGGAGCTGAAGAAGGTGCAACGCAGTTGGTGACCGCTCTGCGCATCATCGAACGTGAAGAGAGGTTGCACGCAGCAATTTATGCTTTGTTGAGAGCTTTTGGTATTTTAAAACCAAAATTGGAGGGGCAGTATTTTTTTTTTTGATTTGTTTTATTCAAAAGTGGTATGGGAAATTTTTTTAATTTTATGCCAGCGGGCATAAAGCGGTTTGGGCAGTGCATTTGTCGCACAGAAGACTAAAAGTTCCGCTCTGCCAGTAATTCGCTACTTTGAGAAGACGAGTTGTTTTTAAAGTGGACGCTGTTTTGAAAATCCTGCTTGAAATTGGTCTGCCAGGCAACTGGCAGGGTTCTCGGTATATATTTGCGAGAATTTCAGGATTGACCAGTATTATATGGATCGAAGAGTACTAACCAACGATTTTATACCGCCTGGTCGACCACGGGAATGGAGAAATAAATGCCTGGAAGTTATTGCAAGCACGGTGAAGCAACGGATCGAAGGCAATCAGTTGGAAGACCGATCTCTAAATAAACAGTGGCTTGCTAGGTTTTTACTTCCCGTGTTATTTTCAAGGCTCTTTGAATTTGGGGTCTCCAGCGCAGATCTTTGGCTCAAATAGACTTTTGTGGAATCAACTGCATATTTTTTTTCGTGTCTGTTCGGTTTCTTCTTCCACTCCCATCATGAACAAGTTGATAAAGGCAGTTCAAGCTGAGATTGGTCTGTTTTATAAATTTCTTGTACCGTTAAATCAGTGGTTATTTTCAACGTTATTAATGTGTATTTGGTGCCTAACTGCCTGCTAGTATGAGATTCCCATTCTAATTGTCGGGGCGGCTTCGGTGTTCTGATTCTTGATCCGTTTTTTAAAAAAATATTTTCAGGTACTTGGAAATTTGTCGTCTTGTGTTAGTAAATGATTTGTTGGTTGCAAAAAGTGCAGCCGCACCGTGTTTTCCACCATGCTATGGCATCTATGATCGCTTTGTGTCTATG